GGAGAGAGAGGGAGTGATAGAGAGAGCGGGGGGAGGGAGGGAGGGAATGAGAGAGAGTGAGTGAGTGAGTGAGTGAGAGTGAATGTGTGTGTGTGGTGGGGGGTGAGAGAGAGAGAGAGAGGGAGGGAGAGAGAGTGAGTGAGTGGGTGTGTGATTGAGTGAGTGAGTTAGTGAGTGTGTGTGTGGAGGTGGGTGAGAGAGAGAGAGAGAGAGAGAGAGAGAGAGAGAGAGGAAGGAGAGGAGGGAGGGAGGTAGAGAGAGAGAGAGAGGAGAGAGAGAGAGAGAGAGATAGAGAGAGAGAGAGAGAGAGAAGGAGGGAGGGAATGAGAGAAAGAGAGAGTTAGTTAGTGAGTGTGTTTGTGTGTGGTGGGGGTGAGAGAGAGAGAGAGAGAGAGAGAGAGGGGGGGGGGGGGGGGGAGGGAGGGAGGGATAAAGAGAGAGAGAGAGAGAGACAGAGTGTGTGTGCGTACCTGCGTGCGTCCGTGATTGCGTGCGCATGTGTAAGTGAGCGAGAGTGAGTGTGAGTGAGGGTATGTGTGTGTGTGTGTGTGTGTGTACATGCGTGCAAGCATGCATTTGTGTGATAGTATACCATATGTAATGTGTAATATATCATCATCCTCGTACCATAATCAACTTAATTAGATGATTCGAGAAGTGCAATTTAGCTCCGTTGCAGTTCTCCAATTTAATCACATGATAAAGCACGAGATGAATAATCGCGCGAGAGATTAACATCTCGGTTTGTCGCCTTTGCTGCAGGGTTGCTTATGCCCGACATTAGATCTAGCTGTAATAGAGTTAATCAGATATTTATCAGACGTATAGATCTGTGACATCATATATATTTTGCTTATTAGATTTACGTCAGAGTATTTAGAATACAAAACTCATTATGTTTACACTTATGCACATGACCTGAGATACCTTTCGTCCTACATTTACCATAGCATAAGAAATTTCAGTAGTTTAGTCCTTTATTTACCGCCCTGGCTAACTGCATAGGCGTGGGCAAGCTATGGTACATTTAATGCATGGTCATAACATTACATAGTGGTATTACATTTGGATATTATCCTATAACATTGTTACGATAACTTACTTATCAAATTTCAATAGCTTCCCAAATAAAAATGGTGGCAGCGGTTGGATCCTTGTTTGATGGTCATTACTTGAGTCATTACTTAATGAACCTTTCTGCCGTAGCAATAAAAAAAAAATAGGTAGTCGGATCTTATACCTGCAACTGAGCTCTTGCAAAAGTCAATCCACATAATTGAGAACCATCAACCATTAAGAAAAATCATATAAGCTATATGACCATGTGGTAATTATTTCTTCTCTTAAATCATATAAAGAATATATGAAAGGAATATTCCTCTATAGCACCAGTACTAACAAGCATCATCGACTGCATTGTCATAAAACTAATCATGCCATATCCAGCACGCACTGCATAATCGTCTCTGACACCTGAAGATTATGAGATGTCCTTCAGATGTTCATGGAATAAGGAAGTCAAAAGGAAGATGACAGGTTCTCTAAAATACTCCAAGTCACCCTCTTAAAAGTCAGTCATTTCACACCACAATGTTTCGGTGTTGCTGTTTGTCTATTTATTTGTGCAGTTGTGTTCTACCTAAAACAAATCCTATGTGTTGCACTACCACATACATCAAGGCTTGCATGGAGTTTACGATATATTTAATCTCTGTATGTTTAAGTACTTGCATCACACTCGCTACCACTACGGTAAGAGACCTTATCATCGATGAATTCAACATAGATATATGAAATACGAGAGCTAGACAACTTGACTTTTATCATGATCACTCACAAACACATTACTAAGTCTGATATACTCTAAAGCATACATGAAGGTTAAATAATATGATTTTCATCTACTGATTAAATGTCATCCGCCTCAGAATCTCACACACTTCAATATACGGTTATAAAACCGAAAACTTAAACAGCAATACACAGCAAGACAAACTATAAACACAAGCTATAAATACGACAAACATGAGTGAGTGAGTTAGTGAGTGTGTGATTGAGTGTGTGTGTGGCGGCGGGTGAGAGAGAGAGAGAGAGAGAGAGAGAGAGGGGGGGGGGGAGAGGGGGGGAGGTAGAGAAAATAATAGATTCATAAAAACACACGATCAGATCTCACAAAACCCCAATCCAACCCTTTCCTAAACGTCACCCGAAACCTGCATAATCGAAGGAAGTGAACCGGAAGAAAAAAACACAAGCTCTGCCCCAAATTTCCCTTCCTGCAAATCACCGCAGATATCTCATTTAGAACGCAGCCAATATTTGCCAAGAGCCCCGGCACTTAGCCACCCAGTCGTTAAATCTTAGAGTAAACGTGGATCCAACAGAGGATTTTAATTGGAGAAGCGGTTTTAGAAGCGGGTTTTAAAGAGACACGCGGAATTCAAGCGGAAGGAAAGAATTGGAACGGATATTAAAGTATAGGTATGTAAGTAAAGGATAAGTATATAAGTAATGTATAAGTATATAGGTAAAGTATAGGTATATAAGTAAAGGATAAGTATGTAAGCCAAGTATAAGTATTTAAGTAATGTATAAGTTTATAAGCAAAGTATAGATATATAAGTAAAGTATGAGTGGAGAAGTTAAGCAAAGCATATATAAATAGGTAAAGAAAATATACATAAGTAAAGTGAAATATAAGTATATAAGTAAAGTAAAGTATAAAGTATACAGGTAAATTATAACTCTATAATTAGATATATTATAAGTATAAAAGTAAAGTAAAGTATAAAGTATACAAGTAAACTATAACTCTATAAATTAGATATATTATAAGTATATAAGTAAAGTAATTGACTAGCGAATCAAACTCCATTCGAATAAGCGAACTGATGGTCTGTGCCTCAGGACTTTGCAATAAGCAGGTATGATGTCTTATTAAATTATATAATTTTAAAAAAGAAAAAAATAGCAATAATAAATATAGATAAGTCTTTGACATTTCATCGTTCATTGTGTCACAGGTGTCATGATTTGATAAGTCTTTCTGTGTATACATGAACAGACACGTGTTTGAGCTTAACTTCAAAATCACAATATATGAAGTAGCCTTTTTCTTTGCCTTTCTTCGGGTTGTATCCCAGTCAGGCTCATTTCTCTTAAAAAAAAAAAAAAAAAAAAAATCTAATATATTCTTTAATACAAGATCTGTACTATAAGGTAAACAACATAATCTTCGATTACTTTCTTCCAAATCCACAATTTTCACTGTTTATATATATATATATATATACTGACCTTGAAAAAGACCAGAATGCCATTTTTTTCTACTACTTGTCTACACTTTCACAATTTTCGTTTTTTTGTTTTGTTTTTTGTTTGTTTGTTTTTTTAAGTAGTAGGGAAAGAAGTTCAGACGAAAATAATTTTTTTTTTTAATTACTTTTCTGCAAATCCACAATTTTCTCCCTTTTTCGATACTACTGACTGAGAAAAGAAAAGACAAAAAATCGTTCTTTTTTCGAAGGTACTGACTAAGAAAAGGAGAAAATACATAATTAGTTTTTCCAATTATTTTGCTGCAAATCCATAATTATCTTTTTTTTTCGAAAATACTGTCTGAGAAAAAAAAGAGTATGTGTGTATGTGTGTGTGTGTGTGTGTGTGTGTGTGTATGTGTATGTGTATGTGTATGTGTGTGTATGTGTATGTGTATGTGTATGTGTATGTGTATGTGTGTGTGTGTATGTGTATGTGTATGTGTATGTGTATGTGTATGTGTATGTGTATGTGTATGTGTATGTGTGTGTGTGTGTGTGTATGTGTATGTGTGTGTGTGTGTGTGTGTGTGTATGTGTATGTGTGTGTGTGTATGTGTATGTGTATATGTATGGGTATGTGTATGTGTGTGTGTGTGTGTGTACATATATATATATATATAAAGGCATATGAAGAGATTGATAATAAATAATAAGCGAGCGAGACATCATGATAAATAACTTCTAAAAAAAATAAAAAAAAAAAATAAAAAAAAAAAAACATGAAAAACATATTGATTGAAGATTATTATAGAAGTTAGAATAGGAATATCTTATTAACAGTAAAATAATATTTCTTGTACCTTGTAACTTGTTATTATTGTTATAATCACTGTCATTATCATCGGAATGTTTCTTTATTCTATTGAAAGCCAAAATTAAAGAGCTACTTTGTATTTAGCTGAATTATATATATAATTATATATATTTATTTTCTTTCAAAAAATGAATTTTCGAGAACACAAAAGACTTGAATCCATTACCATTTCATAAATAGTGAATGTTATAGCAAAATACATGTTATGCAAGAAATCAACAAATAGTATATATTTTTTTTTACTTTTATTCATAAAATTGATATCCATAAATTCTAAAACTGTGTGGCAATAACAATATTATACGGAAAGTTATGCAAATTTACAGAGCTTTATTTCAATATTGCTGTTTTATGAATAACTTGTGAAAGGAAATCTGTTATCATTTTAATATTTCTACATTTACTGAAAAAAAAAGCCAAAACTATAGAGTTAATCTGAATTTAAGTAATTATTTTTTTCAAATAAGAGAGCACAAAAGACTCATTATCAATTCATAAATAGCTTATACTACAACAAAACAAATTTGTTAGAAGAAATCAGCAGAATATTTTTTTTTTTCTCATTCATAAGAGAATCACCCTAAACTTCTATAAAATCTTATAGCACGATGTTAATAGTCTTGTTTTTATGTATTGTAAGATATAATGATAATAATAATAATAATAATAATAATAATAATAATAATAATAATAATAATCCCCCCGAGACCATGAAGTACCGGGTTGGCGTCCGGCGGGGGCTAGTCTGTCTCATGGGTAGGGGGGACTCTTTAGCTTTGGTTGGCAACCCTCCTAGAGATGGTGCCTCGATAAAAACACCGGTGGTTGTGTAACCTAAAATCCACTGCCCTCCTTTTGAGTGAAATATGTCAAATTATTCAATATCAGATAACGGCGTAAATGAGACCGGATCTATGTGTGAAGGTAGCTCGCCCGGCAGGTGTCTCATGGCCCAGCAGCATGAGCCCGGTCGTCATCAAACTACTGCTAGGAGGACAACAACAAGAAAATGGTCACAAGAAGAAAATAGGATAGTGATAAAGTGCTACTTTGAAAGTGTGCCATCAAGAAAGGGTTACAGAAAAAGAATGTTAGCGGCATGGCAAGAGAGAGAAATGTTTATTGTCACAGAACAACGGCTAGTCGACCAAGCAAACCAGATCCGCAAGAAAAAATGGTTAAGTGATTTAGAAATGGAAGAAATACAGAAAGAGGTAGAGGAAGGACAATATCGTGAAGCTGATGAATCAACTGATGTTCTTGGAAGTGAAACCCAAGTTGATCAAGAACAAGCAAATGTAGCGTTAAATGGGGGGGAATGTAATGCACAAGCAAGTGAACAAATCGAACAGGATATAGATAGACCGAACATAGACCCAGATGGAAAGTTTGTACTTGTAGAAGGGTGTGAAACATCTCCAGAAGAGATTTGCACAATCGAAAAGATGGAAAGTATCTTGAGGAAAGAGAAAGTACGATTACCACCCTTACGAGGAATAGACAGAGGCAAAGTTATGAAAGCTGTTCAGAAAGTGAATGCTGTTTTAGCAAAAGTTGTACCTAAAGACATATCAGCAACAAATGATCTGCTATATGCTGGGGCTGCTGTAGTTACCGAAATGGTTGGAATGAGAAATTTAGCCTCAAGCAACAAGAGGGAGCCATGGTGGAAAAGACGATTGGAGAAACAAGTGAGAGAACTGAACATTGATCTAGGTAGAGTGAATACGTTGATACAAAATGAAAAAATCAAACACAAGTATAAATACGATCTTGAAAGGCGATACAAGGTCAGACAAAAAGGACTAAAAACTATAAAAGAAGAGATCAAGCAAAGGATATCTGCAAAAGTTAGTAAAATCAAGAGATATAGCAGTAGAATCAATCAATATCAACAAAACAGAGTTTTCCAAAACAACCAAAAGAGGTTTTTCAGCCACCTTGATGGAGAAGGAGAACAGCAGAATAAAGCACCAGATGCAGAACAAGCAAAAGAGTTCTGGTCGGCGATCTGGAGTAAAGAGGTTAATCATAATAAAGATGCAAAGTGGTTGAAAGACTTCAAAAAAGATTTCTATCAAGAAGAAGGACAAGAGAAGATAGAAATAACAACAGAAAAAATTAGAAAGATATTGCAGAAACTTCCTAACTGGAAAGCACCAGGACTTGACATGGTACAGGGCTTTTGGTTTAAAAATTTCCGAAGCATGCATATCCATCTGAAGAACAACCTGTCAAGATGTTTAATTGAAGGAAAGGTCCCTAGCTGGATGACCAAAGGAAGAACAGTTTTGATACAAAAAGACAAAACAAAAGGAAATGAAGCGAGCAATTATAGGCCAATCACGTGTCTACCAATAGCATGGAAAATATTAACTGGTATATTAGCTGAAGAGATATATTGTTTCATGGAAAAGAAAGCAATGTTACCTGAAGAGCAGAAAGGAGGCCGAAAGGGATCAATGGGGACGGCAGATTTATTATACATAGACAGAATGATAATGAAAGAAGTTAAAGCCAGAAAGAGAAGTATCGCAGTTGCCTGGATTGACTATCGAAAGGCGTATGACATGGTGCCACATTCATGGACCGTAGAATGTCTCGAAAGCATTGGTGTTAATGAGGAAGTAATTGTATTCATGAAAGAATGTATGAAATCTTGGAGAGTAGAGCTGACAAGTGGAAGTGATGTGTTGGGGGAGGTACAGATAAATAGAGGAATATTCCAGGGAGATTCGTTGTCACCATTACTATTTATCATAGCACTGCTGCCCCTTACAAGTATTCTACGAAAGTCTAAACCAGGGTATAAATTCGCTTCGGGAGAAAAAATTAACCATCTGTTATTTATGGACGATTTGAAGTTGTATGGAGAAAGCGAAAAAGCACTTGATTCGCTAGTTCAGACAGTCAGAATATTCACGAGTGATATCAGAATGGAATTTGGAATAGAAAAATGTGCGACAATGATCCAAAAGAGAGGAAAAGTAGTAAGATCGGAAGGTATTAAACTGCCAGATGAGAAGGTAATAAAGTCGTTGCAAGACAACAAAGGTTATAAGTATCTTGGAATATTACAAGTCGACAAAGTAAAAGGGCAAGAAATGAAAGAAAAGATCACAAAAGAATATAAAAGAAGAGTAAGAAAAGTTCTAGAAACGAAGTTGAATGGAGAAAACATGATTAAAGGGATTAACATTTGGGCTGTATCTTTGATAAGGTACTCAGCTGCCTTTTTAGATTGGACCAAAGAAGAGAAGCAAGGTATCGATCGGAAGACAAGAAAATTAATCACGATGCATAAGGGATTGCACCCGAAGAGCAACACAAACAGACTTTACATCCCCAGAAAAGAGGGGGGCAGAGGACTTTTGAGCATAGAGGATACTGTTGATCTAGCTGAGCTTGGACTGAAAAGCTATGTGAGAAATAGCTGTGAAAGATTACTAGTAGCTGCAAGGCAAATAGAGGATTGTCAAGGAGAAAGTGTAGTAGACTTTAAGAATAGGAAAAAAAATGAAAGGCAAAAGGAATGGAAAGATAAAACACTTCATGGCCAGTTTTTACGACAAACGGATGATGAAGCAGGAAAAGAACGATGGATGTGGCTCATAGGAACAGGAATTAAACGTGAAACTGAATCGTTAATTATGGCAGCCCAAGAACAAGCAATAAGAACCAATGTTATCAAGGCTAAGATTGACAACACACAGGAGGAAAGCAAATGTCGTATGTGTGGTAAGGTAGATGAAACAGTAAATCACATTATTAGTGAATGTAATATGCTGGCCCAAAGAGAGTACAAACGACGTCACGATTGCGTGGGAAGAAAGATCCATTGGGAATTGTGTCGAAAGTATGGATTGGCAGCATCAGAAAGATGGTATGAACACCAACCAGAAACGGTTACCGAAAACGAAAGCTGTAAGTTATTGTGGGATTTCAATGTTCAGACAGATCATGTCATTCAAGCCAGAAGACCTGATGTCATTCTTATTGATAAAGAAAAGAAAGAATGCAAAATTATAGACTTTGCCATACCGTATGATAGTAGAGTGAATGCAAAAGAGATGGAAAAAATAGAAAAGTATCAAGATTTAGCACGAGAAGTACAGAAACTATGGAATATGCGAACGAAAGTAATTCCTATTATAATAGGTGCACTTGGGACAACCCCAAAGAAACTTTCCAAAAGATTAGATGACCTTGGAATAGGAACACGAATTGTTGAACTGCAGAAAACTGTTATCATCCACTCTGCAAGGATCCTCCGCAAAGTGCTTGAAATTTGAGGAGTCTTGTTGATACCAAGTTTCAAGCTGTTATCACCACTGACAAAGACAGTGTGCGACACAATCAATAATAATAATAATAATAATAATAATAATGATAATGATGATGATAATAATAAATAAATAAATAATAAATAATTAAGAAAGAAAGAAAGAAAGAAAAACGAAAATTTCTATAACAAGTATATAATTAATAAAGCTTTGAACTTCACGATTTGACTCCTCTAATTTCTAGCTACCTTAACTAGTGAAAATTTTACAAACAGTCCCGCAACAAATGACCGTCGTGTCCTCCTCGCTTCGGCAGAGGGCACTGCTTTCCTATTACTTTCCTATGACGTGTTACTGGAACTAGACCTACAGTGTGTATTGCATCTGTACATAAATTTTCTATAATTTGAAGGTATTTACGAACCAAAAAGTTGTAAATACCGTCATGTTTTTTTCTTCCTTTAATTATTAATTACCCCAAAACAGTAAATTATTTCCTCTAAGGAAAAAAAAAACATCTGCATTTATTTAAAGCTATTAACGAATTTGAAAATTGATGAACGCAAACGAACGATGTAAACAAACGAATAACACTGTTGCCAAATGTCCATTCAAATTATGTGACGTACGTTAGGTTTTACTAATAAGGAAAATATTAATGTGTGCACTAGCATAATGCCAGTGTATATACCATATACAAGCCATTTTAAGCAATATAAAGGTATTTGTTTGAGCTATCTATTTATTGTTATTTTTTATATGTGGCACAACGCCTGTCTGGTTGCGAATAAGCTTAGGAAAAAATTATCACACAAAATACGAGACGATTTTTCGGGTTCAGACACTATTGAGGTAGACTAAGAACGCTTGTGGATACAGCTGGTCTCTCCCTGTCCCTCTTAAATCAACAAATCGCTTCTTGTGTTCGTTCTGAGATGAAGCTTTGAGGAAGTACATTGATGAAATGTCTCCTTGCATGTTTTACTTATCTATTTTTCCTTTTTACTTTTTTTCTGGGGGAGGGCAGGGGGATTGGTAGGTTGTATTAGTGAAATATTATTCTGTCTTTCTTAGTATTTTTGTTTCTTGTACACTTTCTCTCTCTCTCTCTCTCTCTCTCTCTCTCTCTCTCTCTCTCTCTCTCTCTCTCTCTCTCTCTCTCTCTCTCTCTCTCTCTCTCTCTCTCTCTCTCTCTCTCTCTCTCTCTTTCTCTCTTTCTTTCTTTCTGACACACACACACATCCCCCCCCCCCTCTCAAGCATACACACACACCATATTCATGAATAAGCCTGAATAGAGAGAATATTTACCTACTGTACAGACATATTGAACCAAACACGGTAATCGCAGAGAGATATGGTGGCTTTGTGGGGCGCAGGTAAACAGATTTCATTACATTTTAGCAAGTTAAACATGACCCTGAATACTACTAAGGCAATATTAGGCGATAATATTGTTTGGGTCTCTGTCTCTCTTTCTTTCTCGCTTTCTCTTTCTCTTTCTCTTCCTCTTCCTCCCTCACCCCTTCCTTTCTCTTACAATTTCTCTCTCTCTTTCCTACAATCTCTCTTTCCTACAATCTCTCTCTCTCTATCTCTATCTCTATCTATCTATCTATCTATCCATCTATCCATCTATCTATCTATCTTACAATATCTCTTCCTCTTCCTCTCTCTCTCTCTCTCTCTCTCTCTCTCTCTCTCTCTCTCTCTCTCTCTCTCTCTCTCTCTCTCTCTCTCTCTCTCTCTCCCTCTCCCTCTCTCTCTCTCTCTCTCTCTCTTCCCTTGCCTTTATCTCGTGTTTCCATCAGAACCATCCTGTTCCCTGTCTCCCATTTGTCACAGAGGAAAAAAAATCCTTCGCTGCAATGACACGGTGTCTCTTTTCGGCTCCAATTTTCGGCAGATAAAAACGTTTAGACATTTTCTTTCTCTTTAGCCTTGGAAAACGCGATTGGCAAATTGATGTTGTCCGCTAGAGAGTCCCCTTTTATCGTCTATTTATATTTGTTATTGTTTCCTTGGTTGAATGAATGTTTGTAGCGAGATTTCCGTTTGGTTTCTGTGGTTTGGCTGTTTCTTGGTAAGTTTGGCAAGTCTGTATAGATGTAGGGAGGTTTGGCAACACTGTATCTCATGGTGTAAGATCGGTACGTATATATTTCTTACTTGGAAAGTCAGTATTTTATATATAAGGTTGGTGCTTGTGTATTTCTGATATAAGGTTGGCTATTCTGTATTTCACAGATATGGTTGGCAAGACCGGTACTTTATAGTAATGTTAGTAAATCTATATTTCACATGTAAAGTTGTCAGGTCTATACGTTATAAGAAAAGGCGGTAATTTGACATGTAAGAGTAACGTTTCTGCATCACTTAGGTAAGGTTATCAAGTCATTTCATGGGTAAAAGTTGTCAAGTTTGAATTTCATAGGTAAATGTAGGTAGGTCCTATAGCAGATGGCCTTAGTGATTTTCATGAGACTTCTTTTGATAGGCAAACTTAATAAGAATGTATTCCATTGAAAATTACCATTAGTCAATACTGAACAAAATGCCTGTTTTGAACCTACAGTTAGATGTCAATATTTAGAAAATACGAAAAATGATGAGGATGATGGTGATAATGATAATGATACTAATAATGATTATTCCAATAGTCTTGATGATAACAATGACAATGATAGTGATAATGATAAGGATAAAAATTATAATAAAGATGATAATAACAATGATATTAATACCAACAACAACCATCCTCATGGTTATCACAAATACACACAAAAAGGTAACAATAAATAAATTAAAAAAAGAGAGAAAACAGTAAAAGAAAACATCTAGTTCTGGACATCGAAGTTCTTATCACATTTTTTAATAGGGAAAAACGCCATATTTCTTCACTGTCCTGCAAGATCTCATTTTCTTTACGCGATGACTTTTTTATAATTATTTTGCATTTCTTTCTTTCTTTTATCTTCCTTTCTTTTTTTTTAGGATATTCTTTTTTTTTTAATCCAGCTTTACGAGTTATTAATCAAATTGATGTTTATGCTCTTCAAGTTTCATATTTGTTAATTATCTGATTGGAATTGAATTCGTTTTTGTGGTAAATTTCGGGAGGTTGAGGGGAGGTAGGGCAGGAGGCAGGCGGTATGTGTGTAGGCGCCGTGTGTAGTTAGCAAATAGAGGTACTTGAGGCGGCATCTTTCATAATAGAGCTCGATACTTTACCTCGTAGAAGGGATAGGGAATGATTGAGCAGACGCAGAACGAGAAGAGAGAGAGAGAGAAAAGAGAAAGAAAGAGAAATGAAAGCAGAAGGAGCAAAGCAGAACTAAATGAAGAAAGAAGCTACAGAAAGAAAGAAAGAAATAAAGAAAGAAAGCAATAAAGCAAGAAAGAAAGGAAAAAAAAAAAAA